GCTCTCCTGCTGCCCCTCAGGCAGCCCCTTCGCCTCCTCCTCTCCCTTGTCTCTGCCCCCTCGCCCTCCCCCTGACCTGTTCCCCTCATCTGCCCACATTGGCTGTGCCCTCTCGCCTGTCCCCCGACTTTCACTTTCACCTGTCCCCTCCTCGGTCCTCGTCTCCTGTCCCTCAGGTCCTGCTCTCTCTCATGTACAGCTCTCACCTGTGTCCTGTCTCCCCTCGTCAGGTGTGGGAGCGCCCCGTGGCTTTGGAGGCTGAGCTGGCTCTGACGCTGAAGGTCCTGGAGACCGTGGCCAACTCGACCCTGGGGGACATCCTGGACCAGCCCCTCAGCATGCTGCGCCACATCCACGCCAGACTCCAGGCCTGTGTGAGTGATCGGGGCGCCAGGCCATGTGTGTGGACTCTGACCCCCGAACGTCCCCCTCTGTCCCAGGCCCCACCTCACACGCCACCCTCCTCTGCCCACAGGTCCCAGCTCAGCCCACGGCAGGCCCCAGGTCCCAGGGCCACCTCCGCCACTGGCTGCACAGGATCCAGGAGGCCGAGAAGAAGGCGAGTGACTGGGAAGAAGCAGCTGAAATCTGGGGCACCTGGGAGCCCAGTCATTGGAGTCACTGACCTGTCCCTTTCTCCCCACAGGAGTCCCAAGGCTGCCTCGAAGCCTCTGTCACGTTCAACCTCTTCCGCCTCCTCACCTTGGACCTGAAATGTGTCGCCAGTGGAGACCTGTGTGTCTGACCCCTGAGACCCACCTGCAACCTGTCCCAGCACCTTAAATGTTATTTATGCATTAGCCCCTTTTCCTAATTTATTAGCTCAAATTCCTATTTATGTGTGTGAATTCTCAAACTCAGACCCAACAAAATGTTTATTTTTCTACTTTTTGTAATAATTGTGCAAATAAACAATGAGAAACAGATGCCTTTTGTCTGTGGGACTGTGTGTATGTTTGTTGGATTAGGTTTCCTTTACTGCCATAACAAGTTATCAGAAACTAAGCCTCTTAAAACAACAAATTTATTATCTCACAGTTCTACAGGTTAAAAATCTGGTAGGCTCAGCCAGTTTCTCTGCCATGGGTCTCACAGGGCTGAAATCCAGGTGTGGCTAGAGAGATTCTTATCCAGAGGCCTTGTAACATGTCCACCTTCCAGGGCAGTCAGGCTTCAACCGAATTCTATTTTGTGCATTTGTAACACTGAGGTCCCAGGGAGGGTCCATCCCTAGCTCTCCTTGGCCTCTCTCTGGTCCTCGCTCATGGACCCTACACTTCAGAGCGAGCAACAGTGTGTCAAATCCTTCTTGGGTCTGGAACCCTCTGACTTCTGCCAGATTATTCTTCTGCCTCTAGCCAGAGAGAGCGCTCTGCTTTTAAGGACTCGTGTGTTTAGATTGGACCTACTTGGATAATCCAGGATAATCTCCCTATTTTAACATTCCTAAATCTTAGTTCCATCTGCAAAGTCCTTTTGCCATGTAACCTAAGATAGTCACATGTCCCAGGGACTGGGGTGGGCATCTTCGAGATCAGGATTTACCCTACCACAGTGTTGGTGTGATTGTGTGTGTGGTCTCTCCGAGGGTGCGTGCGTGGGTCGCTTAGATGCTTCTGTTATAAGTAAAGTAATATGACCTAAAAATGCCTTCATAGTAAGAACTTTGATCCTGGTATGTGAAGAGAAGTCTAGATCAGCAGAGTCCATGTTGTCCGGTATGGTCCACAGGCCACACGTAGGTACTGAGCACTTGAAATGTAGCTAGGAAAAGCTGAGCTGTGCTCTAAATATAAAATATACCGCCCCCCGAAAGAACAATTTTTATTAAAAATTTTTTTTTCACATGATGCCTGCCAAGTTTCTCTACGGGAAAGTTATTATTTTCCTCTTTGTAACAAATATGCAGAGAGACTTTGAAACTGTGCAAATACCTATCTATTACTTCTCAAACTTTGACCCATTCATTTTAGCATTTATTGATGGTGTTTGCCTGACTGTTAATATTGTCAGTCACCAAATAATTTCATCATTCTTTTTACATTTATTCACCGGCATTCTACTCCCAGGAAGAACTCACCTCTCCCTTGTTTATGTATTTACCAATTGCTTTATATCTGCATGGATTCCTGAATTCTTATTTTATTCAGTAGATTGTAATTCTTTACTAACATTTCTTTTGACGCTCAAATTGTACCCGATTAGGCCAATGAGAACTGTTTGAAGATGGCTTCTATGCTCTTTTGATGTGTCCCCATCATTCTTTGAGCATCTCCTTGCTTTCTGGAAAAAGTTGTTCCAGGCTCATTTTGTGCTTGCCCCACTCCAGCTCTGTAGCCAGCCATTTCTCCAAGGAGCTCTGGCTCATTTTAGTGAAGAAAAGTATTTAGAAACCAAGAATTGTGTGCTAGGTGGGCTGATTGCTACAGGATATAGTTGCTTCTACACCCTCTCAATGGACGAAGCTAAGAAATAGATATATGCATGGAATTTTTATTTACTGTAAAAGAAATAGAACCTCATTAATAATTTTATATTGATTATATGTTGAAATGATAATATTTTGGATATAATGGATTAAATAAAGTATGTATAACTTTAATTTCATGTATTTCTTTTTACTTGTTAAATGTGGCTACTAAAAAATTTTAAATTATATATATGGCTCACATAATATTTAGATTGAACAGTGCTAGATTAGAGGGCATGATGTCATAGTGGATCCAGGCTCTTTCTGTCTGGCTGATCCTCCATCCTCAGCATATTAGCATTGTCTCCTCTCATGATCACAATGTGGCTGCCATAGCTACAGCCATCACATAATCACACAATTGTCTATAAAGAAGGAGTGGCAAGGACTCCAGCTAGCTCTCTTAATATTTATTCCCCTCTTCTTCCGTTAGTTAGAGAACCCCTGAATTGTAAGTGGATTCGAGAGTGCCCTACTAAAGACAATATTTTCCAGCCATCCCTGTACCTATGGTATTAAGTTCTGGCCATGAATGAAAGTGAATCTAACACTTTATAAGTTGTTCCTTTAAAGGACATGGCAATGTTTTCCTTGTCTCCTTTCGAATGACAGAAATCTTATTTTTTCTTAAATTTTCTAGGATATTTTCAGTGCGTATAGACTTCTGTGTTGACGGCCTTCTTCTTTCTTTTAGTACATTAAATACTCAAGAGTAATTTATATATAGACTTAGTTCCTCTCCCTCTGGGGCTTCCTCCCTATTGGAGTTTCTCCTTTCAATTTCCAAATTCTCTGACCTGAACTCTGTTGTATGATATCTCAAGTCAGTGACTGGTTTCTTGCTTGAGTTCAAGCTGTCCCTTGCCACATGAGCAGAGTTGTGCCTCCAGAGGAAAAGCCATATAAACTTAGATCTTACACAGTGTGTTCTATTCTTTAAAAGGTTGACTATCCCCCAGTTTCTGCTTATTCCTGGTTGTTCTCCAATGCCTTCATAATAGTCCTTTCGAAAAGTATTTTGTCCAGAGTTGGTAATTATCCATAGGGAGGTTAGTTAGTACCCTCTCACCTGCCCCTGTCTCACCTCTCTCCCTTTCCTATTCTCCCTCAGTGTGCGATTCTCACTGGAGGTCTCTCTCGGGGTTGCAGTCAGATGTCGGCTGGGACTTGATTGATCTGAAAGCTTGACCAGGCTGGATGTCGTCGATGCCTCACTCCCATGGCTGGCTGGCGACTGGGAGCCTAGCCGGGGGTGTTGACCAGATCACCTCCAAATGCATTCTCCATGTGTCTCTGACTTTCACAGCGCCACAGTCCCCGAGTAGTTGAACTTCTTACGTGGGGGCCGGCTGACCTCAGAGCAGTGTTTAGGGATGGGAAGTGAAACCTGAGGGCTAGTTAAGGGCCTTCAGAAATGACACAGTATTCTATCGATTCAAGCAGTCGCAGGTCCTGCCCAGTGTCACGGTGAAAATGAAACGCACTCTCGATGGCAGAGTGGCAGTGTCACATTGCTGTGGAGCATGCGAGATGGGGCACTGCTGTGATGATCACTAGAAAATACAACGCGGCCACAATAGACACAGCTATTTCCTTCCATACGATACTCAATACTCCAAGTGTGCACGATGCTTGCATGAGTGAGTGTGTCTGCTGGGGTCCATGGCTGCTGGGTGCCCAGAGGAATCCCCCAATTCTGATACCTCCAGAGGCTTTGCCTAAACTAACTCCAGTGTTGAGGGATAGAGGACCACTCTCCGTGGTTCTGAATCTGCTGCTACAACATGGTTCCTCCGTGCCCAAAGACATACAGGAGAGTGGTCCAACTCTATCAGCATGCACAACACGCACATACACACACGTCACATGTTCTTTGTATTGTCAACATTGACAAAAATAAACATGAAATGTGATAGCACAATACGTAAAATATAATAACAGAACAGCAAAAAGTTAGAGAAAGATCTCAGTGGATCTGGTTGTATTCTAAGTGCTTCCCAAGGATAACCAAATTCGCACAGTAACCCTATGATGTAGGTACAATTATCAGCACGCATTTTAAGACCAGGAGACCTGAGGAACACAGGGGTCAATCATTCACCCAATGTCACCCAGCGAATAAGTCAGGATTTGAAACAAACTATTCTTGGCATCAGAGTCCATGTTCTTAACCACTACGATACATGAACTCTAAAAAAAAAACAGAAAACAAAAATAAATGTGAAAAGTAGAGTTTTTGATAACTCTGCAATGTGACTTATTCTCAACCAAACAGACCCTGCAAGAGACAGCTGTTGCCAGGGGGACCGGTTCAATTCTGGTTATTCATCACTGTTGCACAGCAGAGCCCACTGGCTTCTCCACAGCCGGAAACATTGCCAACTCCCGTCCAGTCTCTTCCCGGAATTACGAACAAGGGTAGCAGAGAGTGAGGGTGGGGGTCAGTGGAGTGGAAGAGGAAGAGGCCGCACTGAAACAAAAAGACAGACTTTCGTTTTAAATAACATTTTCAAAAGTAACCAAATTCTCAGTTTTTCCTTGTTTTTTTCCCCCCCCCCTGCTTTCTTGGTGAAAGACTGGCAAAAAAAATAAAGCCATCAGTTTTATGTTTAATTTACACTGTTCATGTACTAATGATAGCTTTAGCATATTTCCTATAGTTAAGATAGTTTGTTTTTGTTTTTGTTTTTGTTTTTGCTTTATGACTTTTGTGATTTAATGGACAGGGCGGCCGTGTGCTCGCCCTATCAATATTCCTGATAGTTCATCACCCCGCAGCAGCCACTTCCAGGCTGGTGATGTGGACGAGGGAAAGATGAGAGAGGACTGGTGAAAAGAAATGGGGACGCGACCCCAGTGAGCCGAACCAGTTCCGCCATCAAGCTGATCTTACGTTGGGTTTCTAGGAAACGGATTATGAGATGAGAACGTCCCAGCAGAAGTTTTCCTGGGAGAACTCTTGGGAACTAGACACATAAGGGCGTGTGCAAAGCGGGATTGGGTAGGTGGAGGAGCTAACCCACACACAACTGGACACGAGGTCTTAACTTGTCCCATACAGAGCTCTGGAGCTGGGAGGTCTTTCGGAGTTGTTCCAAATTGACGCAGGGGCTCGGGCCTTGACACCGCCACGTTAGTCAGCCACTGGTTGTGGGCTCCCCTCCGGGATTAGGGCATAAACATAAGCAAGGCAGCTCCTTGTGGGTGAGGGAAATTCCCGCGAAGAGACGTGGCCGTGTGCTCTCAGCAGCGTGGTTCTCGTCACTGTGGTACCCACTACAGTCCACCCCTTGCTTCACTCTATTCACTTGCTCCGCATGCTCAGGTTGTCCCACCTGGGAACAGCTTTTCCGGGATTCTGGCTGGTCTGATATTCTGAAGGAACTTACAAAAGAAAGATGGATAGGACGACCTGCACCCCTACTTCTGCAGCCAGTGATAGGAAAGTAACTGATCCTCGTTATTCTCTCCTCCACCACACATTCTAGATTCCCCTCACCCTCACTAGTACTTCTATTGGTTTAGGTGGCTTTCCTGATGGGGCGACCCAGGCCCTTATCCCTGAGTGCTGTGAGGCTTTCGTTACCATAACCTTCTCAGGCTAACTCTGCTGTCTACCCATTCTTTTTTTTTTTTTCATTAAAATTGTTCAATAGAGTAACTGAAGATGCCTCAGTGGATCACCTGAATGCTAAACATATTCTTTCCGGCCCTCACTGTGCAGCAGCAGCCCTATATCTTCCTGACAACCGGGGTCATTCCTTGGCTTCTTGGCAGAAAGCAAAGTGATTGGGTGACAATTAGAGCTTAATGGGATTCTTTCCGTGTTCCAGGTATAAATGACCCTTCTTGGGAACCAGAGCGTCTAAATCTGCAGAGCCTAAACTTTTTCTGGTAGGAAGCATAAATTTCTAAGGGGGGTCAGAGGGAATGATGGTAAGCAATACCATTTTGGCATTCGCCCCTTGTCCTCAGACTCATTTTTCTACCTGTTGAGAACTCAATACACCATCGTATAGTGATTGTTGATTTAAGGTATGTACTGCATACCCAATAACATACTCTGTCCTTGAAGAGTTTCAATTCCAAGCTGTGACCTAAAGTGCATCTTTAAGAGGCATTTCGCTGCTCTACTACGCCAGGAGATTCTGGGTAGTGGGGTTTGTAATGGAACCAGTGGATGCCATGTTTGTATGCCTACTGCTGCATTTCCTTTCCTGTGAAGTCCCTTGATCCATGGTGATATTATGCAAAATCCTTGGTTGGTGGATTGGAGTTCTAAAATCTCTGTAGATGAGGTCTCAAGGTCAAGAGAGGCAAAGCCCTGGCTGGATTATCCTGGTCAAGGTGAATCGCTGCCCTGTCCAGGGTGGAAGGGTTCCAGTGTAATCAACTTGCCCCCAGGTGGCAGGTAGGTCTTCTCAGGGGACAGTGCTACTGGCTGACAGGCCTGACAATCAGCAGTGGTGACAACTAGATCAGCTTTGGCGAATGAGAGCTCTAGTTGTCGGGCCCCATGCATGGCCTTCGTCCTGTCACCATGGCCGTTCCATTCATGTGCCCATGGTGCCAGAGCTCGGGAGGCTGATGATAGAGGCTGGCTAGTGTCAGCTGACCAGGTCATTATTTCTCCTTAGTTGATTAGTGCCACTTCAGTAGTTGATGCTCTCTGGTGTCCACTGACTTGCAAAAAAAGATCTTTATATAGCGAGTCTCCACTCACATATGTCCACCCATGTACCTCTACCCCAATATCTTCATCTGTGATCATCTCATCTTTTTCAGGCTAATTTCAGGCTGATGGCCAAGTATTATGGCTATTTGCCACTGCTTATGTGTAGTCACCTTGGGCTACTTCTTTTCCACATGGTGGATGATGGGCTTTACCACCTGGAGCTCTGCCCATTGGGATGATTTCCTCTCACTGGCCCCTTTCAGGGTCACCCTTGAGTTGAGCTGTAGTGAAACAAAACTGTTTCCTTCTGATACCCATACACAGAAACAAGCCGTCCATGGACCAAGCTTAGCCTCCTTCTTTCATTGTCAGCCATTCGTACGGGACTCTCTGCCATGGGGCCATGGATGTGAACAGAGGACTAGGTACTGATGCAACAGTGGTGGATGACATGGAAGCTTGGACCACCTGTTCACGAAGCTGACTTGCCCTCTGGCCCTGCCCATGACGGATCCTGCATGCACCACTCCCATCCTCCCATGAATGGCCACTTGGCTCACTGACCTTATGATTCAGTGGGTCAAACAGCTTGTAACTGGTCACTTGATGCTTCACGGTCCCGTGCTTCCTCTCTACCATGAGGCAGAAGCACTCCAGGCACTGCTTTATGAATGGTGTATGCTTCGCTGTAGATGCCCTGATCTTGAATGCTAGCGGGCTGCACCGTGATTCTCCTATTGAGGTTTGTTTACTCTGCAAGGAGTCTTTCCTTACCACAGATACCTGTAGTTCCATAAGGAGTGTGGGATCATATACTTCAAGTGACAGAGCTGCTCACACCTCAGCCTAGACCTGCTGCAGAGTGCTTTTCTGTTCTGACACCTTTCCATGTTTCTGGCTTGAAGCATTATTCTCAAGTGTGGAATATACTGTCCGCATGACCCAGAGATGGCTAGCAAGCCTTATGCCTTTGTCTTCAGGGTGCGAGGTGTGAGCTGCAATAAGTTTATTTTGGAGGAGGTGTCCTGACATACCTCAGACCACTGGATGCCTAAAAACTTCTTCACTCATGGGGCAGGTGCCTAAGTCTTTGAAAAGTTTCTCTCCCACCCTCTGGAGCATGTCTTTCAATGTAGTCATCACTTCTTTCTCATACAATCTGATTAGCATGTTGCCATTGGGGAGTGAGCCAATGTAAAGATCTGTGGAAGGTCCAGATGGTCCAGGTCCTTGCAGTTAATACTATGACAGAGGGCAGGACTGCCAACATAACCCTGGGGCCAGATTCTGAACGTGCATCTTGGCCATCCTGAGTAAAGGTGAACTGCTTCTGATCCTCCTTTCTGGCGGGGACAGAGAGATTGCATTCTCCAAATCGATGGCTGCACACCACATAGTGAGGCTGTGTGAATCCTCTCTGGCAAAGATACCACGTCCAGCATGGCGGCTGTAATTTAGGCTACTACTTAGTTAGATTTGCACATCCACTGTCATCCACCATGATCTATGCAGTTTTTGAAGGGGCTGGATGAGTGAACTAAACAGGGACATGACAGAGAACACCACCAGTGTATCCTTCATGTCTTTGAGGATGGTACTAATCTCTCCTGTAAACTCTGGGAAGAGATAATTTTTTTAAAACCACGATGGCCGGGATGGGAAGGGGCCAGTCTCAGAGGCTTCGATTTGGCCTTTCCCCATTATAACAGCTCTGTGAGCCAGACCTGGGTTGGGACTTCATGTATCACCTGCTTCCATATGTCCCCCCACCCTCAAGCAGAAGGGCCAGGATGGCATTCTGTGTTTCCAGCATCAATATTAATCCGGACTCCGTGTTCAACAGTCATCCACCTTTCCCCAGTGTGCCATTCGTTACCTGAGGAGCTTGCCATTGGCAGCGGCTTCTCATTACATGTTTAACAAGTGGCTCTTGGAGAAGGAAGCTCTGACTTGTGGCACTTTACAGTTTGTATGGTGTAAATGCCACCACCGTGGCTTATACCAAATCACCAACATGATGTCTCTGAGCACAAGCAGCAGGGCGTCGTTAGACAGTGTAACGGACAAAATGTTTTCCTTCCCTGGCACTGTAATAACAAAGGACCACAAACTAGGGACCTTAACACAATCGAAGTTGATCATCTCACAGTTCTGGAGGCCAGAAGTCTACAATCCAGGTATCAGCAGGGCCATGTGGGTTTCCCTCTGAATCCTGTCGGGAGAATCCTCCCTTGCCTTTTCCAGCTTCCGGTGGTGGCTCACGGTCCTCTGCATCACATTAGTCTCTGCCTCAGTTGTCACATGGCTGGCTCTGCCTGTGTGTCTCTCCCTCTGTGTGTCTTCTTCCTCTTCCATAAGTGAGCACACCAGTCTGTCAGATTAGGGCCCACCCTAAGGACCTCGTCTTAACTAATTACATCTGCCACAACCCTATTTCCAAATAAGTTCGCATTCTGAGTACTGGGGGTTAGGGTTCCAACATATCTTTTTGGGGAGACACAGGTCAACCCATAAGACATAACCTCAAGAGCACAGATAGTAACAAAGTGTGATAAAATAATCAGGAAGTGACTTATAACTATTACTTTTGTTTTAATATAATTTTACAGGGTGAGTTTCTATAATTTAATTTTTAATAGCTTTGTTTAACGATCGGCTTAAAAAATTCCTGACAATTTAACAATCGGCTCTCACGCCCACTTAACAAACGTGCTTCAGCACGCCATGGGTCACGGGTCCCTCTGGAGAAGGACTGGGGAAATCACCAATGAACACGCTTGCTGTGGCTTTGCAGCGTCATTCCTTACAGGGGGCTTGGAATTTGGGATCTGAAAATCAACTCAGGTCTGCAAACAGTCAAGGGACCGTTTATTAGGGCATCTGCCCTCTGTCTCTGGATCATTCACGTGGAGGAGAGTGTGACGTGGAGATGAGCAGGGAGAGATGTGGCGATAGAGTGATGTGGCCACAAGCCACGGAATGCCGGCAGCCACCAGAGACTGGAAGAGATGAGGAATGGATTCTCCAAGAGTGTGGTCCCGCTGACACCTTGATTTGAGCCCAGTGTTACTAATTTCAGACTTCCGGCCTTCAGAACGGTGAGAAAACAAATTTGCATCATTAAAGCCACAAAGTTAGTAGTGTTTGCTAAAGCAGCCACAGGAAACTAATCCAGTTGTCTTGTAAACACTTGTCCCACTTGAGGTATTTGATGATATTCAGGCTTCTCTCTGCATCGGCTCAGATATGCCCATTGAAAGTCTCTCAGTTCCACATGGCACAGGGACTTGCGGGCCTGGGTATTCGACCTTCCTTGAAGCCTCAAATTCCTAGGAAGATCTCCTGAGCCTGTTTCTCTGCTTTATCGGCCACTTAGGTGGACTCTGGCCTTCAAGTTCTGCTTTGAATTGGAGTGATATTGCCCTGGCTCTTTCACCGGCATCTCATCCCCATTCGCCACAGGTAAAAATTTTAACTATCGCCTGGCTAAGTACGGCAGTGTTTCACCTGCCACCAGGGATGGGGTCCCCATTGCCAGCCAAGCAGCAAGTGAACCCATGCCAAAAGCCTGTTGCAGAGTCAGCTCGTTAGGACCACTTGTGACATGAATGGCCTTAGATTAGATTTGCCGGAAACACTGAGACAGAATTGCAATCAGAAGGCTTACTGGGAGTGGGTCTCAGGAGATGCACCTATAAGAACACAAGGAAGGCAGGATTGTGGGGAGCAATGGGATTGCAACGGAGAAGTTAGCCCATCCTGCAGAGAGCATTGCAGCTGGGAGGGCCAGCTGCAATGCAGAGGGACCCCGGCTTTGGTATCTCTATGTTAGGCAACCATTGGCCAAGGGCAGTGCCCTGAGAGGGGGACTAATTTTGGGACAAGGCGTTTCCCTGCAACTGCCAGCACTTCCCCCATGAGGGATGCAGCCTGGAGCCATCAGCAGCCAGCACTCCCAGCAGCTGGGGCATGAGCGTGCGTGTCCTGAACAGTTGCGTGTTAGACGTATGGGATCTGGGTGGAGATCCGAATCCACTGCTCAGCTTAAGCTTCCAGGTCTCCCTTTTGCGTGGCCCTTCCCAGGGCTGGGATGCGGCCTGATCAATGTCTTCACATAGTCATATATTTTTATAAAATAAGCAAACTAAAATATTTTTTCATTTTTGTTTCTTAAAAGGAGCCCCTGAATTGTGGAAGCTTCAAGCTCCACTAATCCTGGATCTGCCCCCAAATGTGAGAACCATGCAAACCAGTTAACCCATGCTGAGTAGGGTTCAAGTAAAGCTGAGCTGCTGTAAGAGACTCTCAAAATTGGTGGGAAAAAAACACAGAAGTATAATTCCCTACCTCCTCGCAGTCCCAAGGGGAGGGGGCCGATGGGCAGGACAGCTCTCCTCAGCCAGCCAGGAATCTAGTCTTTTGCTCCATAATTCCCTAGGGCGGGCATTCTCGCTCTAACCATTTTCATGCATTGACCCCATGGCAGCCTGGCAAAGCGTCTCAGAATAAAAGAAAATACACAGGACAAAGGAATCCAATTTTTATTGTCAGACAGTTATCAAAATATTTTTTAAAACTGTGATATGGTAATTTTTGTGCTTCTTCATTAATGCATTAAATAAAAAGCCACTCATGGCAGCTTTAATAGCTAGTATAACTTAAAAGTAGAGGAGAGCGTACTTGATATTTTAAGATGCCTGCTGGAAAATAATGTAATACGGAAATGTCTGTGATTTCTTTCCCTCCATTTGTAGCAGATGTGTGGTAGACTGAATAATGGCCCCCCAAAGCTGTTCCTAATGCCTGCAAATGGGTCCCCTTATGTGATAAAAGAGACTTGGCGGGTGTGGCTAAGGATCTTAAGATGGGAAGATTGTCCTGGGTTGTCCAGATGGACCCAATGTAATCACAGGGCTCTTTATTAGAAAGAGGTGGGGGGTGGAGGTGGATCTGAGTCCATTGCTTGAGCTGTGGCACCGGAAGCAAGAGGTCACAGCTACGCGAGGAAGGAAACATGGACGGAGGAATGGCGGTGATGTCTCGGAGCTGAAAAAGGCAAGGAAATGGATTATCCTTGGAAGCTTCCAGAGGAACCAGCCCAGCTGACACCTTGATTTTAGACTTCTGACCTCCAGAAGTGTAGCCGTATAAATTCGTGGAGTGTTTTTGTTTTGTTCTTTTGGTTAGGTAATTTTTTACCTTTCGTTGTGAAAAATACACGTAAAATTTACTATCTTAGCCGTTTTTAAGTGCACAGTTAAGTAGTGTGAAGTGTATCCACATCATTGTACAATCGACCACCAGAACTTTTTCATCTTGCGAGACTGAGGCACAGTACTCATCAAACATCTCCCCACCTCGCCTCCCCCAGCCACCAGCAACCACCAACCTCCTTTCTGTCTTTATGAATCTTCCTACTCTAGGACCTCTAATAAGTGGTATCATGCCATATTTGTCTTTCTGTGATGGACTTATTTCACTTAGCATACTGTCCTAAATTTCATTTATATTGTAGCATGTGTCAGGATTTTCTTTCTTTTTAAGGGTGAATAATATCCCATTGCATGTATATACTACCATATTTTGTTTATCTGGTCATTGAGTGATGGAAAATTTGTGTTGCTTTAAGTCACTGAGTTTGTGGTAATTTTTAACAGCAGAACTAATACAGGAAGGAAATGTCAAATTTAGATAGATGTTAGTGAAAATAAAGATGCTTTTCCTGCTCTTCCAAGTTCACAGGCCTGCCCTGAATTCTTAGGCCAGGTCAGAACCCTTGCCCTAGACATTGTCCTCACCTGCACTGTGGAATCTGACTCTCAGACAGGTCCAAGTTCCAGTCTATGGGAAGGAGAAAGAGAGCAGGACCACTTGCCCCGTGTCTGAACGCCTGGATGCTGGCGAGGAGGTAGTCACATGGCCACACCCCCTGCAGAGGATGCAGGAAGTGTCATCTTAGGTTTGGTGGCCCGTACTAGCCCCTATCTCTAGTTCTGAGGAAGGAGGGGTGAGAGGATTTTGGTGGACAAGGCAAAGTCAGCCCCAAGTTCCCCTCAGGGAACTCTCCAGGTGGAGGAGTCAGGTGACAGAGGGCACAGACGAGTTAACTTAACAACTCTGAGGCTGGACATGCAGAATTAGGCCTGGGTGCCAGGCAAAACCGTCTGCCCTTGGCGCACATCTGTGTGAACTTGGCAAGTATATTAACCTCTCAGAGCATCAGTTTTCTCATTTTCAAGGTGGGAGAAAGCACGGTACCTACCTCAGAGAACTCACCGCTCTTGGGTGTGAAAAGCCTCCAGGACAGGGAGGTGCCGGTGAGGGAAACTCTTTATTGTCATGACTTTGCACTTGCTGTTCCCACGGCCTGGGATGCTGTTCCCCCAGATGTCCTCATGGTTCCCTCAGATGTCACCTTCTCCAGCTGTCTTATAGCAGTAACATCTTCTCTGAACCCCTGACTCCATCTCCAGTCTAATCTTTCTGCAGAGCACTTCTTAATAGCGGACATCATATATATTTAGTTTATGATTTTCTTATTGTCTGGCCCTCCCACTGAAATGTTAGCTCCATGGAGGTCAGGGACGTTTGTGGGTTTTGTTCACTACTGGATCCTCAGTGCCTAGAACAGTGCTGGCCTACAGTAGTTGCTCAATAAATGCATTCTAGAATCAATGATTGACTGACTGAATGAATGGAGGTTCCAGTCAATTGTAACCTCAATTGTACAATCAATTTGAAGACCTCAGCTATACTTAAAGTCCTGAGCAGACCCCTCACCCAGCTCATGTTGGTGGCCGGTGGGGAGGGGAGTGGTGACGAGACCGGCCCTTTTCTTTATACTCTGCTGTCCTGGCCTTACTGACTTCGCTTCCCACCCAACAGGGGCACCCTCTGTGGGCTGTCTCCCTGCCCCTAAGCAGCTTCCTCTGGGAGCCTCCAGCCCCCTCGTGGAAATACTTTCTAGGTGTCTGTTACCATCCCCTTCCACATTTGGGCAACCTGCAGAGAGATGAGCCCCCCACCCCACGCCCACCGCATCGGGGCTCCTACAATCCATTTTGTGGGGCTGGATCTGCTCAGCCCTGAGGGTTGTCCTGCTCAGGAAGTCACTTTCCTCATCAGTTTCCCTTTCCCAGATGCTCCGGGCCCCACCCAGCTCCTAGCTCCTCACCCAGGCCACCCCTAGTCCCATGCCTAACTCGCCTCAGACCTTCTGTCTATCCAGAGCTGAGGCAAGAATTACATCCCAGACACAGTCGGGGAGACTGAGACCACAGATCCCGGTGAGACCGAGCCCCGGCGGCGGAGTGGAGGGCAGATGTGCATCCTTTTAGTGAAAGAGGCTGAGGAGCCAGAAGTGAAGCCCGGTGGAGGGTCATAAGAGGGTGAAAGGCACATTCGTGAGTCTCCCCAAACCCCCGCGGGCTGACCTCTGCCTTTGCTCCCTAGGAAGAGTCAGAACTGGAGCTGCAGCTCCCGCCCATTCCCCAGGACCCGGGACCTCAAGCAGCTGCAGGTGAGTTGGGAGAGTCGGGCCCAGCCCCGCCCTCACCTGGTCCCGCTCCTGCGACCCCTCAGGCAGCCCCTTCGCCTCCTCCTCTCCCTTGGCTCTGCCTCCTCGCCCTCCCCCTGGCCTGTTCCCCTCATCTGCCCACATTGGCTGTGCCCTCTCGCCTGTCCCCCGACTTTCCCTTTCACCTGTCTCCTCTCGGTCCTCGTCTCCTGTCCCTCAGGTCCTGCTCTCTCTCATGTACAGCTCTCACCTGTGTCCTGTCTCCCCTCCTCAGGTGTGGGAGCGCCCCGTGGCTTTGGAGGCTGAGCTGGCTCTGACGCTGAAGGTCCTGGAGACCGTGGCTAACTCGACCCTGGGGGACATCCTGGACCAGCCCCTCAGCATGCTGCGCCACATCCACGCCAGACTCCAGGCCTGTGTGAGTGATCGGGGCGCCAGGCCATGTGTGTGGACTCTGACCCCCGAACGTCCCCCTCTGTCCCAGGCCCACCTCACATACCACCCTCCTCTGCCCACAGGTCCCAGCTCAGCCCACGGCAGGCCCCAGGTCCCAGGGCCACCTCCGCCACTGGCTGCACAGGATCCAGGAGGCCGAGAAGAAGGCGAGTGACTGGGAAGAAGCAGCTGAAATCTGGGGCACCTGGGAGCCCAGTCATTGGAGTCACTGACCTGTCCCTTTCTCCCCACAGGAGTCCCAAGGCTGCCTCGAAGCCTCTGTCACGTTCAACCTCTTCCGCCTCCTCACCTTGGACCTGAAATGTGTCGCCAGTGGAGACCTGTGTGTCTGATCCCTGAGACCCACCTGCAACCTGTCCCAGCATCTTAAATATTTTTAATGCACCAACTACTTCCCCTACATTATTGCCTCCAGATTTCTATTTGTTTATGAAATCCTCAAAGATGTTTATTTTTGCACTTTTGATACAATGTGTGAAAATAAACAATTTGCCTGTGACACTGACTTTATATGCTACTGTATAAATGACGGACTGCATGACTGTGGCCCTGTGAGTGTGTATGTATGAGTGGGGGAAGGGGAAGAAAGGGAGAAATGGGGGAGGCAGGAGGAGGGACAAGGAAGTCGGGAAAGAGAGAGGAGGGGGTAGGGGATAGAGAGAGAGAAGAAGAGAATACGAAAGAAGGAATAAATGAGTAGTGAAAAGAAGCATCCTAAGGATGCTTCCAGCTACAAGTAATGGAAGCTTTCATTGCAAGTGACTTAAACATCACACACAGTTGTTATACCAAGTAGTAAGATGTCTAGAGGAGGCTGTGGCTGGGTCAGGTCATTGTCAGTGGGACGATGGCTTTATCACGAACCTAAGGTCTGTATCGGTATTTCTAAGGATGTGCACCAACTGTATGTTTGTGATTCGCTCATCTAAACCAAACCTAACTGTGGTTGTAAACATGGGGTGGCTATTGTCGGGGTGGCGATCTGCTGAGAGGAATGTCACAAAGAGAGTTGTCACCAATAGGTTATTTGAGTTTCATTGTGGGCGTTGTTCTCTGCAGACAATTGTGTCAGCTATAGTTTCATTTCTTTTATTCCAATCTATATGTCTTTTATTTCCTTTTCTTGCCTTATTGCATTGTATAGAAGTGCAGTACTATGTTGGATAAAAATGGTGAGAGAGGACACCTTTGCCTTATTCTCGATCTGAGGAGGAAAACGTTCATTTTCACCATGTAGTGTACTGTTAACTGCAGGGTTTGGTAGATGCTTTTTATCTATTTAAGGAACTTCCCCTCCATTCTTATTTTTCCAAGAGTTTTTTTTTTTTAAACATGAATAGGTGTTGAAATTTGGCAAATGCTTTTTCTGCGTTGATTAACATAAGCATGTGATTTTTCTTCTTTAGCTTGTTCTGTTGAATTATGTCAATTAGTTTTCAAATACTGAACCAGCCTTGCATCCCTGAAATGAACTCCATTGGGTCATGGTGTATAATCCTTTTGATCGATTGCTAAATTCTCTGTGTTAATATTTTGTTAAAGAGTTTTGTGTCTGTATTCATTAATTGTATTTGTGTGAGATAATTGATTCATCTCAAATTTCAAACCAGTTGAGTTAAGGCTTTCTGTTACTTGCAGCCAAAAGCATCCTTAATGATACTCATGGAAATGAAATGTAAGTTTCCCTTGAAATTGAAGAATTCTGGCAGTATGGGATTGCTCTGCCTCCATCACTCCCGGGGACCGTCTTTGATGTGAAGTTTCAAGGTGTTCTTGTATTCAGTATCTATGGAGGGCGATGGGAAGATGAGTAACCTGGGGCTGCAATCCGGGGGACCAGGCACTTCTGCCTACCCCCATCTCTGTGACATCACTATCTCTTCAAAGACCTGTTTCTCGAAAGTTCCACTGCAGGTCTTTCAGATCTTCTGTGCTTCCTCATACCCACTACTCCATCACATTCCTTCTCCCTCACAGAAACCGCCAGGTAGAAATTCCTCATCATCTGCATCACCTGTCCCACCTTCCCCTTGCTCCCCCATCACCACGAATGAGCTGCTTTTCTTCCTATCTTGGGCCAGTGCCTGATCATGTCATTCCTCCTGAAATCACCCCTCTCCTCCCCTCTATTTTTCAAAATTTCCTTTCTACAAGCACTTGCCCATCAGCGGTCTCCCCTTTTATAAAATCTTTTTCTTAACCCATACTCTTCTCTCCAACTATTTCTCTATCCCTATTTTCCGCTGGCTCCACTTCCTTACCTGTTCCAGTCTCCAAAGCCCCGACAGTTGGCTTCTGCCCTCAGAGCTCCGTGCAACCCATCTCTTCATAGCTAGATTCTACGGTTGCTTCTCCAGAACACCTATCAGCAACATCTAACCCATTCCTCACCAACTCCTTCTTGTAACTGTCTCTCACTTTGACTTTTGTGATGTCACACTCGCCTTGTCTCTCTTCAGCTTCTGGCTGCTTCTTCTCAGTCATATTTTCTGGTTCTCTTTCTGCTTCTCACCTCTTAAATACTGGAGCTTCTCACCTCTTAAATACTGGAGCTTCTCAGAGTTTTGTCCTAGATTCTCACCTCTTTTCCCTCTTTGTAGTCTCTCAGGTTATCTCAGACATCCCTGTGGATAACCTGAAGCTAGAGACCAACCCCCTTCTCGCTGATTACCCTTGTATCAGTCCATTTAAGCTGAATTATGCTACGGTAACAAATGACCCTTACATTTCTGTGGCTTATAACAACAAAAGTTTATTGCTCACTCATGCAATGACCACCTTGGGTAGGCTGAGTCTCAGCTCCTCATGGAATCCAAGATGAAGGCGCAGCCCTAGAATATTTCTGGTCTTAGAGTAGAGAGATAAGAACACATGATGGACTATGCCCTGGCTCTTGGAGCTTCTGCCCAGAAATGATTCACACCACTTCACTTCCACTCCCATTTTATTGGTCCAGACAAGCGACGCGGCCAAGGCTGAGGTCGATATGGCAGAGGTTTGTAATTTCTCCCAAGAAATGTATTCCTCACTTCGGAAGAGAAGATATTTTGAATGATAAGGCAGTCTAACATATCTTAAATTCTGATTTCAAGAACAAGGACAAATTAGCTTGATTCTTGTGCACAGAAACCAGCTCAAGGTCAGGTCTAGACAGGACCACCTGATAAGCCAATAGCAACAAAGACTCTGATCCTAAAGGTTTCTTTGCCATCTTTTGAATAATGATCCGTAGGAAGAGATTAGTTCATGGAAACCCTCGTAGGAAGAGCTCGTCTGCAGCGCTGAGAAAGCAGCACTAGGGAGCTGCTCTCCAGTTCTGCGCCCCACCATCTGCGAGAGCAGGGTGGTTTCTTGCGTTCCTGGGACCCTGTTAACATCGTCGGCACTTACGGATTGTTTCTTATTTTTCAAATAAAATACTGTCGCATCATATATGGTTGTAGAACAAACAGAAGTGTCCTATCGTGTTCGAAATGCACATACGTATAACAGGAATTTTTTTCTCCTTAAGAAATGGGAAACCCCAATTCAACTCGCTTAAACAATCAGGAATTTGTAATCCTATAGAATAAGAAGCCTGAGGGTAAGATAGATCAGGAGTTGGCTAATTCAGGAAATCACACTCATGTTATCGATAGTCCAGATTCTTCCCATTTTTCAGTCTGGCTGTCCTCAGCATTTCAGCCTCATCCTCAAGTTGGATCTCCTCATGGTCACAAAGTGGCTTCCGCAGTTCCAGACATTACATTCTCTGGCAATGTCCAGAGAAAGAAAAGAAACAGCATCTCACCGTGTGTCTTTTTTTTTTTATTTCCCACTGAGGAAAACTTTCCCCAGGACCCCCCTAGCAGACTTCCCTTTAAGCCCACACTAACGTCTCACTAATGATGGCAGCCCCCTCATGCCCCTCATATCCCTTACCCCGCTCCACTTTTCCCTCATAGCACCTAACACCTTCTAACATAGCATACATTTGCTTGTTTTTATTGTTGTTTGTTACCTGTCTCTTTCTCTGCTAGAACATAAGCTCCAACAGGGCAGAGATTCTTGTTTGTTGTTCACCTCTGTATCCCCGGCACCCAAAACAGTGCCCCCAGCACACAGTCAGTGCTCAGTCAATATTCATTGAAAAAAATGAATGATGGTCACATTGGTCAGAACTGCGTCCTGAGTCTCAACCTAGATGATTCACTGGCAAGGGACATGGGGCAACTAGGAGGGGCTTGGCCAGAGATGGCCTGGCCTGCTTCATGGAGTGAGGCTGAGGCCCATTTCCCCCGGAGGCTCACAGCAAAGAGGACAGATTTTTTTAAAAATCAAAACTGAGGTTCTTTTGGGCCTCCAGTGTCTATTATAGTTCTCCAACGGCTATTTCATATTGTCTCCCCTCTCCCTGAACCTCCAACTCCCCCTCCCCCATGCCCACTCTCACGGATGGCTTTGCTTCTTCCACTGAAAACACAGAAGCAATAGAAGAGAAATCCCACGTGTTCCCATGACCACATCTGCTCATCCACCGGCACCTGGGTCTAGACACGCTGCGTCTTCCTTTCTAAGTCTGACTTCTTTACTAGGACCCTGAATCCCACCCCTTTCTCACGCAAGAGCACCCTACGCAATTCTCCCTCTTATTTTTCATCGTAATTTTCCTCCGTGTATTTCTATACTTTCTGTTAAAGAAATTTTATCTCAACCCCACATCCCTTCTAGCTACAGGCCCATTTCTCTGCCTCCAGAGAAACAGAACCAACAGGAGATATGTCTACATATCTATATTGATCTATCACGTATCTATCTGTATGAGAGAGAGAACTTGATGATGAGGAATTGGTTCATGCAGTTCCGAGGCTAAGCCGGCGGGGCCGGAGACCAGGATCGCCAACGGGCTGGTCTGGCCCACGTCCAAAGGCCTGAGAGCGAGGGGAGCCCATGCTGTAAGCTCCAGTCTGAACACGAGGAGGCTCAAGACCCAAGGAGTCAATGTTTCAGTTGGAGTCCAAAGGCCGCAGAAGACTGATGTCCCAGCTCAAAGCCGTCAGACAGGCGGAGTTCCTTCGTATTCAGCCTTTTTCTTCTCTTCAGGTCTCCAAATACATGCTGAATCTGACCATTTCTCACCCTGTCCACTGCCCCACCCTGGTCCTGTCCACCCTCTCCTACCTGGACCACGGCAGGAACCTCTTCCCTGGGCTCCCCACTCCTGCCCTGAAGCCCCCAGACTGTTCCCCACACACAGCCAGAGGGACCCCGTGAAAACCTGAGCCAAGTCAGGTTCCTCCCATGCTCAGAGCCCTCTCTTGCCACCATCTCAGTCAGGGCAAAGGCCAAAGTCCATATATAAGGCTCCCATGACCTCCCCCTGTGACCTCTCTGACCCCTTCTCTTCCCCTCTCCTCCCACCTCTCCACTCCGGATACACAAACTCTTTGCCATTCCTCAGACGTTCCTTTGAACTGGCCGTTGTTGCGCTGCCTGGAGCGCTTGCCCCGGTG